ATCTCAATACTTCATTGTCCAAATCTGGATGGTGGGCGAACAACACGTCCAACTCTGGTAGTAGCAGGAACTGAATCAGGAATGTCCGATGATGTTCTTTCTGGCTCATCTTTGGAAGTCTCTGGCAGCTGATCTTCGCTGTTGAGATTCTCCTCGTCCAGTTCTAATGGGCAGAGATTTTGAATTGGTCTGATCAGAATTCCGGATTTGGTCTTAACTTTGGCTCTTCTGATCAGTCCATCTTTACTTGTGTAATCTGAGAGTATTCTTCCCAAGGGCCAATGTATTCTTTTGAGATTATCATTCCAAATCCAGATGATATCTCCAACTTTAGGATGGTACGTTGGTTTTCGAACTGTCAGTCTATGATGTAGCTGACTCAGATATTCACTACGGAATCTTGCTCGTAAATCTGTCATCAGTCTTCTTCTATACGCAAGTCTTTTGTTTAATTCCGTCTTGTCAGTTAGCTTTAATCTACCCAAGTCCGTAGTACTACTAGTACGAGTGTCTTTCAGGAATAAATCAGGTGTTAAAGGACATAAATCATCGGGATCATCGCTAACATATGTTCTCCTGGCGTCAAGCCCGTTATAACACGGGCATGGTTTCTATGCTGAAAGCGGCTTGCCCGTGTATGTACGGGTTCACGTTCTAGGTCTGGAGCGGCGATCACGTCTTTTTCTGAACTAGAATATTTCCTTCCCCCTCAACCCCCTACTGCTCACAAATTGAGAGGCGTATAAGCTGTCATCGTAAATCACTCACTGTTGTGCTAGAATATTTCTGTTTGAATAGATGTGAATAGTTTGCGTTCTTTTTCATGTTTGAGCCCCAATCAAACCAAAAGTTTACCTTTAAAAAACAGATTACATTTTTATTTTCTCCAACACTTTCGAAATATTGAATTTTCTTTTAAAAAATATATTCATTGCTTAATATATTATACTAAATCTTTGAATAAATAAAATCGTTTCAAATTTTTAAATTTCAATAAATTTTCGAAAAAGCATTTTTCATTTTAGAGTAAATTGCAGGAAATTATTTCTTGTCTAAACAAATGCAATATTTAATGAACTAATTTTTGAATTTTTAATATTACTAATTTTCCATAGTATTTAACTAATTTATTTAAAATAGTTAATTTTTATAAGCATTAAGTTGCTTACAAAAAAATTTAAAAAAATTTTTTCTGGCAAATGAAGTTAACTCTTAAAACATTCTCTCCTCTTTCTGTAATGTTAAAGACTTTCTCGGCATTTTTCTAAAAATCTCATCACTCAAAACGCTAGTTTTATTTGTACTTTAGTTTAATGATATTAAAGCATTTCCATGGATAGAGAAAAAATCGAAATTCTTTTCATTAGTAAATACATTTCTCATACATGTGAATATATAAATAAATATTTCAGTAATGATAAATAAGTTTAATAATAAACTCTAATTTCCTTAATAAATAATAATAAAAAAATGTACAAGCTGTTAAAACTCCAAATGACTAAGTGAGTTATAATAAACTAAATATTTCTTTCAAGTCCACAAAATAAATGTAAATATTTTATTCCACTCAAATACACTTTAAATATACATACATTTAGATATACATTTTAAAGAAAACGATTTTTTTTAAAAGTATAACTGATTATATTTAAAATATTTAAGTAATCGTTGTGAAAATTCCAGTAACTAAAATAAAATATTGAAATCATTGCACATTTTATAAGCTTTAATTGTTGGAACACTTGCAAGCAATATTTTTTTTCTCTCAAAAAGATGTTTTATTTTTAATTAAATTCATCATTAATTTGATTCAAAGTACAATTTTTTCTATAATATCATTCGAAATCTAAATAAAAGTGTGTGTAAACTCAAGGGTGTAAGCTCGAGTTGTGTTGTAATTATAATGTTTGTAAATATTCAGGAAACCTGGAAAGTAATGACGCTTCGGCGCATTGAATATTCGATAGTCTTAAAAATCCCTTTTTTTACGATCCGGAATTGAAGGGTTGTTGATAACAAGGGTGAATACATTTTTGATAAAAAATAAAATCTTGGTAACAAATATCAAGTGCATCGAAAGGACATTACTTTCAGATCTCCCTAATATTTCACGAATTTAAAAGTTGTTCAATCCAGATGGGCGGAAACAACCAACGTAAGTATTACAGTACTGACATTCGTACTAAAATATGCATCGATTGATTGTCTGAAATCTAAAGTAGATAATTACATGATGTTTTTGTTAAGTTATTAAAAGAGTTTTCAGAAGCTTAATTTGAAATGGGGGTACGCAAAGCGATAAACAAACCCTTATTGTGACGTAAATATAATCTAGACAATACTTATCATACTAGTGTCCAAATATCATACTAGTGTCCATACGAGTTATCATACAGTTTCATCTAAAGGGCACGTTTTCTTTTCTGTTCATGGTCAAAAATGCTGTAAAAGGTGATCTAGAAAAATGGGCGTATAGTACTAAAAGTGTATTGCAGAAGTTAGAGAAATGCGAAATGTAGAGATGATTTGTCACTGTATTTTCTGCAATTCAATTAAAGTCTAAACTTCGACTGCGAAAAAAAAACTTAAAATAAGAGCTTAAATAAACTTAAAACAAAAAAATAAGAATAAAAGTAAGCTAGAATTAAAAATAAAACATAAATGAACTTAAATAAAGTACACGACAATTCTGCGAACTTAACAAGTAAAATAATCGAAGTAATGGATAAAATTTATGATTAAAAGTAAAAGAAAATAAAATTCAATAACACTCTGCAACAAAATATCCATTTTACTTCATCAGTAATCTTCCCATGCATTTTGTATGCAGAATTTGCTTTTGGAATAAAAATTAACTCGCTACTTGAATAAAAAGTTCTAAAAATATTTTCAACTAAAATGGAAGACATTACGTTATTTTGATTCTTTGGAATTGTATATTTTTGAATTTGTAAATGACGTTATAAACGAATTTAAGAAACATAATCCAACAAACCATATGTTTAAAAAAAAGCGATAGCAAGTTTTTGTGCCCAACCACAATCTCAATTTCATTCATAATCCACAACATTCATAAATATATTGCTATTTATTATAAAAACAATATTTTTTAAATATTACTCTTATGAATAGTAAATATGACTATTAAGGGACACAAGTTTTATTATTCTAAATATATTTTACCCCATATAAATTAAAATCACAGATAAAACTTAATGCTAGTTTTCTTAAGAATAATTTTCTTTTAAAAAAATTTTTAAATTTAATTTTTCAAGAAAATAAAAAGTAATGCAGAAAATTTTACTTTCTTTATTTGAATAAATTTTTCTGCTTATATTACATACGTTCTTTGATTTTTTGCTGCTAAGCTGCGCACTATAAAAGCTAAAAAAAAAATTTAAAAAAAAAAAAAACTAAAAAAAAATCCTATATTTATTTTATATGCTACTTCCAATTTTGAAAAAAAATATTATTATTATTTTTTAAAAAAGCATTTTTGATGTTGTTTTATTGCTATACAAGAGGTGTGCATAATCATAGTACCTTTTCTTATGTCAAAGCATTTTTATGTCATAACTAGGCCTGGGCTATAAATCGATGTATCGAGACATATCGATTTAACGCATATATCGGCAAGACGATACAGCGACTTTCATTCAAGGCGATGCATCAGAAATCTGATTTAAGCCGTCGAGTAAAGAGCGCAAAACGATATAGCGATATAAGACACGCAAGGATATAAGGTAACGATGTAGCGATATAAGACTCTTCTCTTACGTTCCGATGTCGACTCGCGCTGTGGAAGACGATGTTCGTTTCGTTTTGTTGAAATGGCCTTGATTGGTGAGCTGTAGAATCAGAATCAGAGTTTTGAGAACGCATATCGTTATATCTCATGTTCCTTTTCGCACCTCTTACCTTTTTTTTCTTTGTCGCGACTTTTCTTGTAGATTATTTTCAGTGGGACTAACTTCGTGATCGCCGATGTTACCTTGTACTGAAGGCAATCTATTATTGAAAAGAATATATAAAGAAGAGTTTCTTCATTAATTAGATAAGTTTTTTTTTAAAAATATTTCTTTTTATTTTTAAATGTGAAAATTATCGGCAATCTAATTTAGGCGCCCATGAAGAATTGAATTTGTTAGGTTATTTTTTTACTTTCTTTTAATTTATTAAAAACTTTTTGGATGAAACTTCCAATAATTTAATGAGTTTTTATTACTGATTTTAAATTTATAAATTTTGTTGTCTTTATTTTTAGAAATAAAGTTCAAACAAAATTTATTTTTGTTATTTGGATTTGGACATAAGTCAATCAACTTTGTTAATACAAAAAAATTTGGAAGGTTTGCGTATTTTATTCATTTTTTTAAACCACTTAGCACTTCGTTTTATTAGAGAGTATAATAATTTTTTTAAAAAAATATTCTTTTCATATTATTTGTTAATTAGCTAAATATATTATCGAATATCAAAATTTTTTTATTTTTAAGAAATTAAATCTTACTTTGTTTTTCGTTCATAATTCGGTCATTATTTAATTTAATCTAATTATTTATCTGAAATGATAAGGTGCCGCAGTGGACTGATCGTTAAGACACGGTTCCCTGCAGATCACCGAAGTCAAGCATCAATGACTGCGGTCAGTGTGCGGGTGAGTGACCATTTGGATCAGTCTGCGTAGGGACCGAAGGTGTGCGGTATTGGTCCTCGTTAAACTGTTCTACCGTAAAGTGCTCGACTTCGCGTGCAGGTCGTCGAGCTACCGAAGCGGGGGTGCCATCCCATCTGCAGAGGATCAAAATTGTGATGGCATGTCTT